AATAAGGCACAGAAGGAGGAGGAAGAAAAAAAAGCCCAAGAGAGGAGTGAGGCGTTCTAAGTTCATGGAGCGGTCTACCTCCCCACAAAAGCAAACCAAAGTTCAGGCATCAAAGAGAAGCTTGAAGGAGAAGAGAGCAAGGTTGTACATTATCAAACGTTGTGTGTTCATGCTACTATGTTGGAGGGAACATGCAGATTAACAATGGTGGTAAAGTTTCACCATCCATTTTTGTTGTTCTATTTTTGCAGTAGTTTTAAAAAAAAGTTTTATCTTGTGTACCTGGCATTGTTGTTAATTGCACTAGGATTTGTAGTGTATGTATGTGTGTGTGTGTGTGTGTGTGAGAGAGAGAGAGAGAGAGAGAGAGGAGAGATGTGAAGATGAAAACATCAAATTGTAAAGATAAAGTTGTAAGTTGCACTATTAATTGTTCCAAGTGACTATAACTACTTTCTTCACAACTTGGTGCAGCAGTAGCACTATGCATTCCAAGTTAGAAGTTACTATAACTACTTTCTTCACTATTTGATGCAGCAGTACCTTTTAAGAGGAACACTAGTCCTATAAGATGTGCACCATTTGCATATTCAAGAAACAGACACGAACACATCCAGAAACACGAGACAGATAAGATACAAAAGAGGGTGAATCACCCAAAATAAAATTGTAAAGAGGAAGCTTGAAGGTGGGATTAGCAAAATCATAACTGGAGTTTTAAAGTTTTAAATGTGTTCAAGTTGTCCTTCTCAGAATCTTGGATGCGCCAACATCCCACATATGGTTCCAGAAGAGTTTCATTGGCATCAGGGACATAAAACTCAATTTGGGAAAATTACAAATAGCCTCAAGATACAATTCCTGAAGGCCACTAGAGTAACCAGACTCTCCACTGTTTCACTCACAACATAGGAAGTACCATGACATTCAACAACAAATAATTAGATATGCTCTGAAAAGTTGGCATTCCACCAGGAAGTTAGATGGATGGAGAGATAGATAAAGGATACTCAAAGCTAGATATATGGCCACATTCCAAAAACTAATATAAGCAATAGATTCTCAAGAAAAAGGGTTGAGATCATAAGAGAGGCAAAAAATAAGGGGTTTAAACTGTGTCTATACAAATCTATGCAGAAGTTATTTCACTTACAGAAACAATGAACTGAATATGGTGGGATCTATAAGGCTATGTCACCGACTCACCTACAATTACAATTACCAGCACATGCCATGTTGAATAAGAACACGTGAGTGTTCTTACTTGATCATGTGAGAGAGCAGTACAGCATTAAAATGAGCTACTCAATACTGTGAACAAAACCCAGTAGAAGTTTCCTATAGACTGACATTAGAAATAGAGGGGGACCACGTCCCTTAAGCCAAATATGATACATTTTATACACTGCCCTGAACATATAATTTACTAATCATACTGCCTTGTGAGCATATTTACTAGGCATGTACTGCTATCCTACAATGGGAGAGGGATAAAAATCTCATATATCAAGTATCCAATTAGGAGATTATGAAAACACAAACCCATAATTCTAAATCAACTTGACAACGTCCTATCCATTGATTAATTTGTTTTCTCAAAATAGTGCACCAATCATTATTTGTCCTTCCAATCCAATGATGCATATGCATAAACTCAACTCAATTCCACTCAACAAAATTTTTGAATTCCAATCAGAGTAAATTGGGGGTTTACTGAAGCTTAGCCTATCCAATGTTAAAATTGGATCTTCAGTCCGTACAATGCATGAACAATGCAACCAAACAAACTGCAATTCCAATGAAACAAGCATAAATTAACCACCTCCGGATTAAAGAAAATAACTTTATTATTTAACAATTTCAATATGTTCTATAAAAATGCTAAATACAATCGTCATCGACAAACATTACACATTGACAGTCTCGCATAAAATTCAGAACCAGAAGCTGTTTTCATAAACCCTAATTACACATAAAACCAAGATCTAGTGTAACAACAATACCACACAGAGAGGGGGAGATCAGACGGGGAGCTCAGCAACGTCGTTTGGAGGGTCGCTGTGATTGGTGAGGGTGAAAGGGCGGTCTGCGGCCTCGGCCTCGTCCTCATCGTCGAAGACGGTGGTGGCGAGGTTGACGCAAGAGAAGCGCTCGAGGGAGGAAAAGAAGGCGGTGGAGACCGTGGCGCTCACCCAGCTCGCCACCTGGTCAAGCTTCTCCCGCGATATGATACTACTGTTCCCGTTTTCCATTTTTCTTCTTTTCTTCTCTTTTCTTTTTACTTTCTCAGAAGTTGAAAATTAAGGCTCATGTGATTTTGGTTTGAATTTTATATTCATCATTATGTGGGTCACGGACTCCTGGGCTAGATGGGTGTTAGATTAGTTCTAAACGGCCTATATAGGTTATGGGCCATGCTCCATTAGATTTAATTATTATCACAGGTTACGGTCAATCACGCATGCGATCTAATCCATGCGATGCTCTATTTAGAATTAATTACAATAATTTTTTTTATGGGTAAATATAATTAATTACAATGGCATGTAGGTAAATTTTGACCGTTTATGTATTGTGAGTCTCTCATGCATTAACGGTTAGAAATTCCTCATCTTCGCATGTGTAATTAATAAAATTACTCGTCCAATAAAGTTCAACAGAGCATGCCTTAGTTCTTATTTTTCCACTACATGGAGCTTTGGAATCTCTTGCCTCTTTTCGTCCCTTATGAGAAAAGCCTACGGTCCATGACTCCATTGTATCTCTTTGATCATATGACTAGAAAGGAGAAATAGAAAGCATGAACAATATAAAGGCTATGAGATATAAATTCAACGTTTGTCCACACTATCAACAAGCGCATCTGGTGTAGTGGTATCATAGTACCCTCCCACGGTACTGACCAGGGTTCGATTCCCTGGATGCGCATTTTTTACATTTCTG